TGTAAGCGCGCTGAGAAAGTAATCAAAGAAAATAGAAACAGGCCAAAAGCAGTGAATGAATTAGAATTTGTAGAACATACTATGATAGATGAGAAGATAGAACAGAAGGTAGAGAATAAGAGTGTGGAAGCAATGGGTAGTAAACTCCAACAGGCAGTGTCAGTCCCCAACAAAGTCTCCTCATCCGTAAATCCAAACGTCCAAAAGCCCACGATCCATTCCTTTTGTCCGTCCCCTTTTCACCTTATGTTGTGTTTTTCGTGTGGCTTACCTGTTGACCACTATGTAAAAAACCCACTTGACGCCCAGAAGGAAGGTAAATGTAAGTCTAAGTTCCACAATATGGTCTGTTTTGCGTGTGGTGATGATTCGTCCTTTTGTGTATACAAACCAAACCCGGGAAACCCGAAGCTGGCGGAGATCGCCGGGAACTCTTGCCAGCAGAAGAACCTCCCGGAGACAACCCGGTGATTAGCCCATTGAGCGTTTTAAAGAGAGAAGTAGGTAGTGGGGCAGTTAAGGATAGGTTAAGATCAGTAGAGCATAGGACAACCAAGAGTTTACACACAAGGAAATTAGAATACGAAGAAGCGCGTAGACGCATATTTTGCGAAGAAGTGACCATGAGGAAAAATAATAGGAATTATGAGAAAATTAGGAAAATGAGAGAGAGAAAGAAAAATCTTAAAAGGATTTGTAGGAAAATTATATCGACGATAGTGACATTAAAGGGGGATAACCGCTTCTTCGCGAAAACAAAGATAGGCGGGCAGGATGTTGTAGCACTCTTAGACTCAGGAGCAGGTGCCAGCTGTTTGGGAAAGAACGCGGAAAAACTCCTCGAAGGACAGGAACACCTCATAATGCCGATTAAAGGCCAAAATATTCGTACGGCGAATGGAGGGGAGACAGCGGTAGTAGGTGTTGTTACACTGCCCGTTCTCTGGGATGAAGCGAGTAGGGACCTTGAATTTTTAATAGTACCAGGACTACAGCAGGAAGTTTACCTTGGCGTCGTCTTCTGGCAGGCATTTGGTATGAGTGTTGTGACTAAGGGTGTGACTACGAGTGTGAACAATGCTGTTATTGAAGAGCTAATACCCGCTGAGGGTGACCTAACCTTCGACGCGGTACAGCATGACTTGACCCATGACCAGAGTGTGGCCTTAGAACGGGTCAAGGCCCAATATCCCTCCTTTGCGGTACTAGGGTTAGGCAAGACGGATAAAGAGGAACACATAATAGAGGTCACCAATGAAAATCTCCCGGTGAAGCAAAGGCATTACCCTATCTCGCCCGCAATCCAGAAACTCGTATATGCAGAACTAGACAGGATGTTGGAGATGGGCGTGATAGAGGAGAGTAATAGCAGCTGGAATTCTCCTGTTTCACTCGTGGTGAAGGGTACAAAGAATCGGCTTTGCTTAGATGCGCGAAAGGTAAATGAGCGGACAGTAAAAGATGTGTACCCACTCCCCCATATTGACGGCATCTTAAGCAGACTGCAAAACACTCGTTTTATTTCCGCAATTGATCTGAAAGACGCGTTCTGGCAAATACCCCTAGAGGAAAAATCGAGAGAGAAAACTGCCTTTACTGTACCTGGGAGACCTCTTTATCACTTTACCGTCATGCCATTTGGGTTGTGCAACGCTGCACAACGTATGTGTAGACTTATGGACAAAGTTATACCCGCTTCGCTACGTGAGTCCGTGTTCGTGTATCTAGATGATTTACTTGTGTGTTCTGAAGATTTTTCGTCCCATCTGTCGTTGTTAGAGAAAGTAGCTAGGTGTCTTCGTGAAGCGAAATTGACAATAAACGTTGAAAAGAGTAAGTTTTGTTTTAAGGAAGTAAGGTATCTCGGATATGTCGTAGGGAATGGGTGCATCCGTACAGATGCAAATAAAATTGCGGCCGTGAGGGACTTCCCGGAACCTCGGACCCCGAAGCAGCTCAGGCGGTTCCTGGGGATGTCAGGGTGGTACCGTAGATTCATTCAGGACTACGCGACCATTGCAGCACCGCTGCACGACTGCCTCACAAAGGACAAAATAAAGAAATTTACGATGACAGAAGAAGCCAGAAAGGCATTTGATTGCTTAAAACAGAGCCTCATCTCGGCACCTGTACTGACACACCCGGACTTCAACCGACATTTTTACATCCAATGCGACGCGTCAACTGATGGCGTGGGAGGGGTACTCTTCCAATTGGATGACGAAGGCAACGAGCGCCCTATAGCGTATATTTCGGCGAAATTAAACAAGGCGCAACGCAACTACAGCATCACTGAATTAGAATGCTACGCAGCGGTGCTTAGTGTAAAGAGATTTAGGCCGTATGTCGAAGGACTTCCCTTCACAGTGATTACCGACCACGCGAGTCTGAAATGGTTAACGAACCAGAAAGACTTATCTGGCAGACTCGCGAGGTGGAGTTTGTAGCTTCAAAGCTTTAACTTCGATATTCAACACAGGAAGGGGTCCCAAATCATCGTGCCGGATGCATTATCTCGTGCCGACATGGAAGAGATTACAATTGGTAGCCGGATGCTAGACGTGTGCCTTGACTCGCCATTTTTCAAGACGGAAGAGTACGAAGAATTGAAGAGGACCGTCACCGATAACGAGGAAAAACTACCTGAACTGATCACATCGGACGGGTACGTGTACAAACGAACGCAGTTTAACCGTGGGGATGACCTTCAGCAGGACCACGCCTGGAAGCTCTGGGTACCGACCGAGCTGCGTCGTTTGCTAGTGGAGTCCTCACACGATTCACCGTCTGCTGGCCATGGAGGTGTGCACAAAACATTGTCCAGAATACGTGAGAAATATTACTGGCCGGGGATGGTAACTGACGTTCAAAGCTACGTTAAACAATGTGACATTTGTAAAGGCAACAAAACACAAAACGCGTTCCGTAAGCCTCTGATGGGAAAACAACATATTACTGAGAGACCTTTTCAGCGTTTATTTGTCGATTTCATGGGTCCATACCCGCGTACGTGTAGTGGTAATGTCTTTGTGTTTGTGTGTTTAGATCATTTTACAAAGTTTGTGTTTTTGAAACCCATGCGAAACGCCACTTCAGCTAACGTTATAAAGTTTTTAGAAGACGAAGTGTTCCATATTTTTGGCGTTCCCGAATATGTGCATTCTGACAACGGGAATGTTCAATGCATTTTTAGAAAAGTACGGGACCAAACATATTCGGACGGCCTTTTACTCGCCTCAGGCTAAGCGGCCGAGAGAGTAAATCGTTCTGTCCTGCAGATTGTGAGGTCTTATATTGGCGAGAATCAAAAGAACTGGGATAAACACATCAGCGATGCCGCCTTCGCTTTGCGCAGTGTGGTACACACTGCGATTAATAGCTCCCCGTACTATGCCCTCTTCGGTATGCCTATGATACAACATGCTGCATCATATGAGCTATACCGAAGATTGGGCACAGTTGGGGAGGGAGATTGTGCGATAGAAACCCCAGCGGACAGAGCCCAGTTAATTAGGAATAAAATAAGGAGGGAGCTGAAGTTGGCCTATGAAAGAAGTAAAAAGGCATATAACACTAGGAGTAGAGAAGTTAAATTTCCGATTGGACAAGTGGTGTACCGCCGAAATTTTAAACAAAGTTCCCAGGTGGAAAATTATAATGCTAAACTAGCTCCAAAGCATGTTAAATGCATCGTTTTGAAAACGATTGGTAACTCAATGTACGAGCTAGGTGACACCAGTGGAAACAGAATCGGGGTATACCATGCTAAAGATATTTTTGTAGCATAGTTTTCATGTGTGTTGTGGGACGTGCAACGTGTTGTGATTAAGTATATGTGAGTTAGTACTTGTATATATGTTTAGGTTATCTTATTTATTATCAGACTATTTATTTATGTTTTTTACTGGACTACTTTTATTTATTTATTTATTCATTTATTTATTTATTTATTTATTCATTTATTTATGTATTTATTAATTTATTTATTTATCTATGTATTTGTTATTATTAGTCACTTGTAATTATTTATTGATTTATTGCGCTGTGATATTTTTTCTTTCCACTTGACCGCATAGTCATAAACTCGGTGATATTTTTTTGTTTAGTTGTTTTTATACATTTTTTTACCACTTGACTATGTTACCTCCAATGCTGTGATATTTTTTTATACTAAGATAGTAGTTAGTTATTTATTTTTATTATTTTTATTTATTCATTCATTGATTTACTTATTTATTTATTCATATATTTATTTTTATTTTTTTTATTTATGGATGTATTTATCTTAATTATTATTTGTTTATTGACTATGATGACACCTGGTATAATTACCCGCCATCTGTGATATAGTTATAAATCGGTCAGAAAAAGTATTAGAACGTAGAAAAACAATCAAGTAGAACATTAGAGGCCGGCTCTAGGTTGTGGGTCGAAGCCACACGTTGGGCGGCTCAGAAGACAGGAGACGAGCTGCGTTATGAATTTCCTTTTACGCACACGCTCCATGTTGCAAGCATCATCGGCGGTTGCGAGCCTGTTACGCAGCGTCCCACTCAGTATGACTGTGTATGTGTGAGTGTGTATCCACCGGATGTGAAAGTAGCTATAAATTCCTTAAGCCACACAAAGTTAAAGCCAAGGGTGTGAAACCTTGCTAACCAGGCGGTTCGATAAGGCAGTACTAAGCGTGTGGGAATGTCTAGGTGTTAGTGTTGGTTATAGTTGAGTAAAAATCTTAAACTTCGGGGATATGCGGGAAACTCACTGAGCCACTCCTTCGGGTTGTTCAGCTCTAATAAAATAGCGCTGAAGGAGTCGCGAATGTTCAGTTAGAAAGAAATACGTTGGCGGTGAAGTGTCGCGAGTTTAAGTGCCTAATTGTGTGCGGTGAATTATGTATATTTCTATATAAAAGTTAAACGGGAAAAACGGCGGTATTCCGTAATTTGTGGATATATATATATGCGTATAAAGATATATATATTTATATATATATATATATAACGGTCGAGCTGAAGCTGCCTGAAGTGCAACCAACGGGACCTGTGGAGATCCCGTCACTTATCCGGAACACCTAATTAGCCAAGACCGATAATATTGGGAGTTGAAGTAAGTTTAAAGAAGCAAGTGAATTGAATTTGAACAAAAAAAAAGGCCATCTACATGCATACACAAAAACGCGTGAAGGCACTGGCTTCCGCGTACGTACAGTGTGCAGGTGGATGCGTATGGCCACCACTCCGCCTTATTACCTTTTGATTAAATTATAGTGTTTTTTTTTAGGTCGCCAGTACACAGGTATAAAACTACCTCCCCAGCAGAAAAATAGTACTACCGTCAACAACACTGCAATTGTTGCGTCAACAACAAAGGACGCAAGTGCAGGCAGCAAGCCCCGGCGCAATTAAAGTCAACCGCCATCTATACCAACAGGTACCGAGCTGGACGTTAGATAGAAGTTGCACGCACCGCCACACATAAGCGCATGCAACACCTATGCACGATAGAAGCAGCGCACACACACCTCTACATATACCTCAGCACCAGATACAATTTGATATCAACTATCATAGGCAGAACAGGCAACAATAATAATACAGCGATCAGCTGTGCGGAATCTTCGAACTGAGAGAGGGTCAATGCCCGCTGCAGATTGAGCGATTAAGCAGAATTCCAGTGGGCTGAACAGGGGAAAGGAGAATTCTGGTCAGAAGCAGGCGAGCATACATACATACATATTTTTCCCCGCTCAGACATTGGGGGAGCGGTCACCCCTCCAGAAATTCTTGGGGAGCGACCAGCGACTACAACCATCAGCGGAGGAGTATCAGTCTTTTTTAGTTGTTATACTTACGCGTTTGCCATAGGAATTTTATGAATCACTATTTTGCTTAGGTATAATATTTTTAGTTACTTAAACTTCTGAATTTTTTTTGGATTTCAGTTTGAGCATAGTTCCTCGTTTCCTTTTTTTTACTCGCCTATGTTCAACTCGTTGCACTCTTCCCGCTCAATTTATCTCGTTGCTGTTTTTTTTTTATATTTATATATATATATTTTCTTTTTACCGCATGGGTTTGTGTAAATCCGAGCTCAATATTTCGTTTGCTGAGAATTAATTTAATGAATTTAACTTTTACGTTAATTTGTATTGAAGTTGACTAAATTAGTTTAAGCTAAGTTCTTTTAAGTTGTTGTATTATCGCTCACTTTTCGGATTCCACATTTTTTTTTTTTGTTTCTTCTACTCTTTATCACTCGTTCCCTTGTTCGGTTTTAATCACATTTTTGATTTCTTCATTCACTTCATTTTTTTTTTATTTAGGTGATTTCCTAATTTTTGCCGATTTGTAACCCGGGTTTTTAAGTAATTAATTTTGATACAACATTTGATCTCATTTAGATAAGATTTGGCATTTTTAATCGTAGTTAGAATTTTCATTAAGTTTTGTGTCTTTACGACTCGCTCGGTGCCCGCTATCACGAGCGAGTGAAGTTATGAGCAAGCATAATAGGCTCTCTAACCCGGACTGAGTGCACACACGTGTGTATTTGGATTTGGGTGTATGTATGTATGTATGTATATTTCATTTTCCAGCCTTTTTCAGCATCCTCTCAACGTGTTGGTACCATCATCGAGGGAGAGCAAAGGTGAGTGAAAAAAAAAAAGAACTGAATTTTTCTTTTGTACATACATATACACATGCGTATAAACATACATTCTTAAAATATTTTGTTTTGCTACCATATTTTACCTCGGTTTTCTTTTAACTCGCGCGAATTTGAATATATGCGTATGAGCATTTGTTGGACACCTGCAAATAGAAGGGGTGTTCACGCGATCGTGAAAGTTTGAGAAGATTGTTGAGGTTTTTTGATAGTATTTAATTGTTTTTTTTTACTTCGTTTTTCTTCCGTGAGTCAGTTTTCCGAGCTTTTGTTTGGTTGAAGACTTGTCAGCTAATATAACTGAATTGCATCCTTGAATGTTTTTATAGCTCTATTGGATAGTGAATTCTAATCTTCGCAAATTTTGAAATCCTAAACTTGTGAATTGAACTTTTTTGGTAGATTTTTGTTATTAACTTTTCTATATAGGATAAGTAGGTTTAAGTGAGTATATAAATAAATGAATTCGTATGTAAAAGTTGAAAAAAAAGGTTGACGGCTTGGTTATTTAAAATGATGTGGTGAGGAACCAATATTTGGTGTGGGTGTTACTCTGGGGCTTAAGAAGGGACGTGAGGGCGTAGACGGATGACGGGACCGGGACGGCACTAGGTTACAAATACACAGACGTACTAGTTCAGGCAAAGGGGGCGTTGCAATGTTTGGAGTCAGCGCAACGCCCATGGCTGCGTATGCGAAACGCGCAGAGGGGGTGGGATGACTCCACCTGACGGGACAGGCCTTTTCTTTTAGCATTCTTGCAGTACTACTCAGTTCTATTTCTTCTATTTTTTTTGTTGCTTCTCAATCAGGCATGACAACAATTTTGTATATGTAGGGTCAGGTATGGCGAGTGGAAATGACCCCCCCCATCCGGCGAGCTAGTCTGGGCCTGCAACCATGCCTGGAAGCCACCTCGTCCTACCCCGCAAGCACCCTCATAACAATGGCGCCCAACGGTAATAGCCCAATAGTTTTTTTTGTAATTTCCCATGGTTTTCAATTATACTCTTAACTCTTTTTCTTCTTCTTTTACTTTTTCCGCTTCCTTCTTCTTAGCTTCCTTTTTTCTATTTCTGACCTTCTATCGGACGAGTTAGGGTCACGAAGGCATCGTCACTTTCGGCCACCGGAAGTGACTAGTGCTTGAGTGACTAACCTGGGGGGAGTGAACATCACAACTTCGAAGTGCCTTCGTTGTTGTTCAACACACTGATGAAGTGGGATTCGAAGTTGTGGTGTCACTATTAGTTCCGTTATTTAATTTAGTGGAGACAAGCTATGAGCTACCTAGTATGCGATCCAGCACCGCGTACTAGTGAGGTTCATAGCGAGTCTTCACAGGGGGTAATGGGGGTAAGTGTGGCATCCACCGTTGGAGCTACGGCACTGGCGGTTGACATGCCACACTAGATTGAAGAGTAGGTAGGGGTTAGGTGACTTCAATACAGGAAAAGTACACACGGACTTAACGCTCTCACAATGACCTCGCTGAGTGTAACACCACCCACACACCAAAGCAGTCATTATTACATAGCAACAACAAATATTACCGATACTTGTGTTTAAATACTTACTTATAAAATAAGACAAAAGTAAACGAGAAGAAGTAAACATTAATCCGGTTATTTAAACTGAAACAAATATCGGCGTTTTATTTTTTTATTTTTTATTTTTTTTCCTCTCATTTCTTTCTTCATATTTTTTTGTTATTATCCATTTTAATGCTTATTTTAGTATTGCATGCATATTATCACCACCATCACAATAATATATGATTCTTATTGTTTTTTTTACTATTACATATGTACATACGGTAATCTCTGAATTTTTTTCCGTCTTGAATTTTTTTAAATTAAATTAAGGATTCTTTTATTTTTATTTTCATGCTTAAACTTTGAATTTGGATTTCAGCTTCATTTAAGTGCTTTAAGGGTTTCTGCGCGGATTAAGTAGTTTGTTCGAATATTATTTAATTTAAATACTTGAAGTGAGTACAGATTTTTTATATTTTGTTTTGATTTTACCTTAAAATTTCTAAGCTTAAACCTGAATTTTAAGTTTTAAATATTTTTTTGCACTCTTCACAATATTTTTTTCCTTTTATGGTTAAACTTTTTCTTTGAATTCGTGAGTTAACTTTTCCTAATTGTATTAATTTTCATTTCAAGCGAATTTGCGATTGGATTTTCATAAACTTATTTTTGTTTTTAAGGTTAGATTTGTTTTATTTTTTTTTTTCAGTTTAAAATTTATTTGGATTTACCTTGAGTTACTT